AAACCCATCAATGAATTAACACGGAAAAAATTAACGCTATACTTCTGGTCCTTACTCTGTTGTTTCACCCACAGGCTTCCTTACAATTTCGTACTGTATGATATATATATATATATATATATATATATATATATATATATATATATATATATATATATATATATATATATATATATATATATATATATATATATATATATATATATATATATATATATATATATATATATATATATATATATATATATATATATATATATATATATATATATATATATATATATATATATATATATATATATATATATATATATATATATATATATATATATATATATATATATATATATATATATATATATATATATATATATATATATATATATATATATATATATATATATATATATATATATATATATATATATATATATATATATATATATATATATATATATATATATATATATATATATATATATATATATATATATATATATACATATATATATATATATATATATATATATATATATATATATATATATATATATATATATATATATATATATATATATATATATATATATATATATATATATATATATATATATATATATATATATATATATATATATATATATATATATATATATATATATATATATATATATATATATATATATATATATATATATATATATATATATATATATATATATATATATATATATATATATATATATATATACATATACATATGCATATGCATATACACATACTATATATATATATATATATATATATATATATATATATATATATATATATATATATATATATATATATATATATATATATATATATATATATATATATATATATATATACATATACATATACATATGCATATACACATACATATATATATATATATATATATATATATATATATATATATATATATATATATATATATATATATATATATATATATATATATATATATATATATATATATATATATATATATATATACATATTTATATATATATATATATATATATATATATATATATATATATATATATATATATATATATATATATATATATATATATATATATATATATATATATATATATATATATATATATATATATATATATATATATATATATATATATATATATATATATATATATATATATATATATATATATATATATATATATATATATAAATATATATATACATATACATATGCATATGCATATACACATACATATATATATATATATATATATATATATATATATATATATATATATATATATATATATATATATATGCATGCATGCATGCATGCATGCATGCATGCATGCATACATACATACATACATACATACATACATACATACATACATACATACATACATACATACATACATACATCATACATTACATACATACATACATACATACATACATACATACATACATACATACATACATACATACATACATACATACATACATACATACATACATACATACATACATACATACATACATACATACATACATACATACATACATACATACATACATGCATGCATGCATGCATGCATGCATGCATGCATGCATGCATGCATGCATACATACATACATACATACATACATACATACATACATACATACATACATACATACATACATACATACATACATACATACATACATACATACATACATACATACATACATACATACATACATACATACATACATACATACATATATATATATATATATATATATATATATATATATATATATATATATATATATATATATATATAGTTTAGTCCATGAAATAAACAGCACTTGCACAAATATGCACCCTCCACCGGGCCTCATCAACAGCCCTTGATGATACCCAGTGGAAGGCGAAAATGTGGGCATTTTCTAATTCGAGTTTCCTTTCAACATGTGGACTAAGCTTTATATTCTTGTCTTCTAATCAAGGAGACTACAAACATACACACACACAAACGAACACGTACACTACACTACATTATTTCATAGGTTATGTATCCTTAATTGTTCTAGCTCAAAAGAAGTCATCAGGAACTAGCAAACTCCATATTCGAATAATTGCACTGTTGTTGCAGTAATTTAAGCTTAAATAAATAAAAGAGAAGGACAAAGATATTATGACTGATTGTTTTTAAACTAGAATGAAAATAAATCTGAACTAAATAAAAATAACTAACTAAAAAAATGAATAACTAAATTCTGAGATGCCATTTTTCATTCACTGGTCATATAACATTACATTATAGACAAACGTTTAACAATAATATTTGAATAAAAAAAAAAAGCCTATTGCAAATACTCAGGCTCCAAAAGAAATTACCTCGAACTAAGAACTTAAACAGATAAAATCTTTAAGTTTTCATTTCGTTCGTTGAATCCTATTAAACAAGAAAGTAATTTGTCATATTAACCTAATGAATAATTGAAAAGATTATGTCATAATGAGCGTCCAGTCTCGATCCACATTTTGTGATAGATTTAGACCAAAATATTTTTATAAGATTTTTTTATTTTTCAGCCATGAAATATAAAGTCCTTTTGTATTAAACACAACTGTTTCCCTTCTGTGACCTAAGCCAGCCTAACTACCCCTGACCTTACCTACAAGGTATAATGAAATATAAACGGCTTTGGTATTTTGCAAAACGTAGAGTGCGTGTATTAAATATAAACAACAGTTAATCCATGTCAGCTTAAACTTAGCCTAGCCACACATTATTGAAAGGGAACTTGTTTTTTTACTCCATAAAACGTAAATAGTTATAACAGATTAAAGAATTTTCTTTTATTGCAAACAAAGTTTAACCTATGAATAATAAAGATTATTTTCACTGGTTACCCCCCCCCCCCCCGTGTTCTCTAGAGTGTCGTGAAAATCGATAAAAAAAAAAAGGTCTGAGTGCGGGGACTGCAAACTTCAGATTTTTATTTTCATCCCTCAAGGAATAATTCCTCACGAAAGGGTCTTTTTGGGCAAGCTCCAACCAAACCCCTAACAATAGTTATTTAGCTTAGCCACCTATTTTGAGAGTACATTTCGGCCTTTATATATATATATATATATATATATATATATATATATATATATATATATATATATATATATATATATATATATATATATATATATATATATATATATATATATATATATATATATATATATATATATATATATATATATATATATATATATATATATATATATATATATATATATATATATATATATATATATATATATATATATATATATATATATATATATATATATATATATATATATATATATATATATGTTTGTGTGTGTGTGTGTGTGTGTCTGTTTGTATTATATATATATATATATATATATATATATATATATATATATATATATATATATATATATATATATATATATATATATATATATATATATATATATATATATATATATATATATATATATATATATATATATATAAATATATATATATATATATATATATATATATATATATATATATATATATATATATATATATATATATATATATATATATATATATATATATATGCGTGTGTGTGTGTGTGTGTGTGTGTGTGTGTGTGTGTGTGTGTGTCTGTTTGTATTATATATATATATATATATATATATATATATATATATATATATATATATATATATATATATATATATATATATATATATATATATATATATATATATATATATATATATATATATATATATATATATATATATAGCACATAATCATATGTGAAAACAGAAAAAAAAAATTACCCTGACTGAGACTTTAACCTAGGACACAAAATTACTGTGCCAAAGGTGGTACCAAATGCATCACTGAAGGTCAAAAAGGGAAACCAACCTTACAGCTATATCTGCTCCACTACGAATGAACTCATTCTATCTGAATGTCTCTCTATTCATATTAGTTTCCCCTTGCCTTGCTAGTGTGTACGTTTTCGCATATAATTCAAATGTCAGTCTCATTTGGGACCAACAATAATTAAATAATCACTTATCTTATGTGAAAACATGAATAATTTTTACCCCGGCAGGGAATTGAACCTAGGACACATGATTACTGTGATAAGGCGCTACCAGCTACACCATAGATGGTCTAAAAGGGAAACAAACCTTACAGGTATATATGCTATACTAGGAATGAATGCATTCTATCTGAATGTCACTCTGTTCATATTATAGTTTCCTCTCCAACCTCACTTGTGGTTTGGTTTTCGCATTTAATTCAAATCTTAATCTCATTTGGGATCAACAATAATCAAATAGGACATTAATATTTGTGAAAACATGAATAAATTTTACTCCGACCGGCGACTTGAACCTAGGACGCATAATCACTGTGCATTGACACAGCAATTATGTGTCCTAGGTTCAAGTCCCAGTCGGGGTAAAAAAATTTCATGTTTTCACATATGGAAATGTTCTTATTTGATTATTGTTGATTCCAAATGATATTGAGATTTGAAATAAATGCGAAAACGAAGCCAAGAGTGAGGTTGAGGGAAAATGAAATATGAACAGATTGGCATTCAGATAGAATGTATTCATTCCTAGTATAGCAGATATAATTGTAAGGTTTGTTTCCTCTTTAGACCTTCTGTGATGCAGTTGGTAGTGCCTTGGCATAGTAATTATGTGCCCTAGGTTCAAGTCCCTGACGGGATAAAAATTATCCATGCTTTCACATATGATAATGTGCTTATTCGATTACTGTTGGTCCCAAATGAGATTGAGATTTGAATTAAATGTAAAAGCGAAGCCACGAGTGAGGTTGGGGAAAACTGTATTGTGAACAGAGTTGCATTCATATAGCGTACGTCCATTCCTAGTATAGCAGATATAGATCTATGGTTTCTTTTTCTTTTAG